AGAATTGAAAGTCCCATTTTGCTCACACCTTCCAACAGGAGAGGCCCACAGGACAGACTGATGCAGGCTCACAGGAAGAAAAGCCATCATGGAGTGCCCCACAATGGGAGAAACTGTCTCAAGAAGTTTTGTGCCTAAAACTGAGGAGGGGGCACAAGTTACCAAGTCCCATTCAACAGGCTGGAGCAGGTGTATTTCAAATCTGGAAATTGGTGGCGGTGGAAGTGGGAAATAGCTGAGCTCCATCTTAACTTGGAGATACATCAAAAGTCCAAAAGGCTAGAAAAAAGAACACACATACTACAAACCCCTAAATACTGCTGATGACAGGAGTTGCAGTGGAATGGCCCCCCATGTGGGGCAGTTCTGCCCTGCTGAACCCACTCCCTCGGCTGCTGGAGGGCAGCTGTGCAGTATGAGCCCAGCTTGGCTCAGCTGAGCCCAACGCCAGCTCCAGCCCACTCCTCCTCCTCCTCCTCCCGCCCTTTCTGGGTTATTCTTAGCAAGAGGTGACCTCAGAATGCTCCCTCCAAGCAAAAATAACCCTGGAGGAAGTTGGTGGGTACAAACCCTCAATGAATAAATGCATATAGCTAGTAAACAGGGTATGGAACCCTGCAAGGCAGGTCACTCCCCACCAAGTTCTGGGGAGCAGGCAGAATCTGGAAGCACCCACAAAGGACAAAGCTGTTTGGGCTTGTGACCAGCTTCAGCCAGCCTCACTTACCACCCCCCAATGTCCTCAGGAGCTGGGGTACAGGAAGATGCCCCTTCCTCCTGCCCTGACACACACACCCAGGCTTGGCTTCCCTGGCAGACCCCTCCTTCCTACCACAGGCACTGGCCAGCCCGCAGGCCCTGGCCCAGGTGCCAGCTCCCTTCCTAAGCCCTACCCAGCCCTGCAGCTGACTTCCTGTTTCCTGTTGCCGGCAGCATCCTGGCTTTAGCCAGTGCTGCAGTGGAACCAGGCCATGGCCTGGTTTTAAGCAGACCTGCTTCCCAGACCTCAGACCACCACCTCTTTCCCCTTAAACATGGGCTCCTTGATGTTTGGGTCAATCGCCTTCCTCTGTTCTACTTTTTTGTATGCTTTCTGGGAAAGTCTATATACTTTTTCAAACAGTCCTGCATTCAAAGAGTCCCTGGGGACCCAGTCGGCCGGACCACATGGCTGCAGTGGTGAGGAAGAAAGAGCATGATGGGTTTTGCAGTTGTGAGGTATGGAACCCAAGTCCTGAATCCTCTCTGAACCCCAGTCTCTTCATCTGAATGTGGAGATGGTAATGACTCAAGTCCCCATCTGCCTTGCACAGGTTTGCTGTGGGTATTGGAAGAGATGATCGTGTAACAGGCCTTTGAGGGCAATAAACTGCTACACAAATATCAGCCTTTTTTTAAATTTTGGAGGTACTGAGGTTGAATTCAGGGCCTTGTGCTTGCTAGGCAGGTGCTCTACCACTTGAGCTATACCACCACTCCAAATATTAGCCTATATTCATGATCTCTGTCCGCAGCACAGAGTGGACAAAAGCAATATGGCTCCCCTTGGCAGTTCTGCAAAAGGATGGCACCCAGAGTCAGAACTAGTGGAAAGGACAAAATCCTTCTATCTGCTTTTCAAACTGGCTGGGGTGCAAGGCCAGGCTTTGGTTTTGGATTTTTAAATTCTCTATCCACTGAGAAATGATACTTATGTAAAATTAGAATCAGGTACATGGATGTGGCAAATATCAAATTAATCAAAAAAAGAAAAAAAAACCTCCTATGGTTGGGGGAAGGTTGTTTGCCTGGAATGCAGAGTTCCGTCCCCAACTACACCTGCAAAAATACCCCCATTTCTGTGCAGACAAGTGACAACCAGTGCTTCTTAAAATGAGGCCTGCAGACCACTAATGTCCACGCACATGGGCTTTTACTTGTTTGCCTTTGATTTGTTAGGGGTTCATTTATATTAATCGCACAAATGGATGGAAAAGGGAGAGGACAGATGAGCGGCAGTTGCGGAAATGGGCTTCATTTTCAAGCTGCTTTGACGGGCTATGGCTCCGGGACAGGTAGAGAACAGGAAAGGCTATGGAACAGCCTCAGAGGCAGCAGGGGAAATGAGCTTGGGGTGTCTGTGGGACAGTGAAAAGACGGAGTGTCTATGGACAAAGAGTGGTATGGGAGCTAGTGTGGACACAGGAGAGAAAAGATGATTAAGTTGCTAGAATGCCAGATAGAATGGTCTAGATCCTGTTCCATAAGAAATGGAGTCCCCAGAGATTCAGGAACAGAGGTGTGCCAGGTCTTGTATTTCCTGTGACTGCAGGACTTCTCTCTGGCACACTAACCTGAAAGGTAAGTCTTCTTTATCTGGGTTTTTGACCCCACGCAGAGGGAAGGGATGGGTGAGGAATTCTGGAGAGTACACGGCCTGAGCATCCTGATGGAGTCTACCTGGGTGGACGGTGCAGCCAGGAGGCAATGCAGCAGCACCCACAGACAGATGACTGCTGAAGGCAAACGCAGGCCTGGAGCAAAGGAGGAAGCCAGTGATTTCCTACCTTTGGGGCTGGAGGGGAACAGATGATGTATGTACCTTGGCCCTCCCTGTGCAGCGCTGACAATGCAAAAGTTTACACAAAGCAAGCACCACCTCCGAATAGGGCTCCTCTCTCACTTCCCAGTGCCTACCCTTGGTTACACCTGTCAGAACGTAGCCATGCTCCTTGCCCTCTCCAGGCTTAGCTGGATGACACACTTCCCACTCCCTGGTGAATCTGTTCCCAGGGCCACAGCTGCAGACTGTGGGAAGGGAAGAGAACAGGACCAGCACCTGCCCCGCAAGTGCCAAGATCCAGACAGAATCCACCAGGCAGCCCAGGCTGGGGCTGTGGGCTATCCTTGGCTGCAGCAGGAATTCCCCTACTCAGGTTCCCAGGGAGAGCCATGATAACTGTGGAGCTCCAGGCCACCTTTCTCTGTTCCCTTCAACATGCAGGGTGTCCTTCCCAACAGATGCCTCTGGCCCTTGCCTCCACAGTCAGCGCAGCTTCCCCCAGGCTCTCTGACACACAAGAGTCTCCTGACACTGGAGGTTTCAGGTGTCACCGAGGACACAGGCTGAAGCACAGCCAGGCTATTACTTGCAAAGGCTGTGCATTACCTCCCACCCAGGCAGCTCAAGGCTGGGTGCTCTACCCTAGGGGCCTGCACCCCAGTCTATGGCACAGGTTCATTATCTGTCCAGCCCCGCACATCCTGGCTCTGCTTTGCTGTTTGCAAAGCGCTCCAGAGGGCGGACAGAGCAGGTATTATTGGCATCCCTGCTTTACCAGTGAGGAAATGGCTCAGGGAGGTTAAGCAACTGGCTCGAGGTCACATAGCTGGAAGCAGTAACTAGGTGCTGTTTCTTTTGTCAAACTGGGTTTCCTATTCTCTCTCTCTCTCTCTCTCTCTCTCTCTCTCTGGCAATACTGGGGATCACATTTAGGACCTCATGCTTGTCAGGCAGGCTGTCTACCACTTGAGCCACACCCACAACCTCCCATGGTCTCCTGGAGAGGAAAGGTTAGGCCAGGCACATGCAGCCCAGTGGTGAAGACTGAGCCCATCTCGGTCATAGCCAACTAGAAGGAACACATCCTTCCCACTTTTGCAGAAGGGAACCTGAAATTCAGGCTGGGGTGTGTTGGGAGCTGGGATTCAAACCCAGGTCTTCTGGACTCCAAAGACTGTTTTTCCTTCTGCACTGAAGCAGGGGTTATATGACCGCTCCCCCCCCCAACCGTCTTTCCCCATCCCACTGAGCCCCTCTTCTCTCTCACTGGCCATCTGCCTGCCATTTCCTTGTGTCCTCTGACCCCAGACCTTCGGCCTGATTCCAAAAACTTACAAATTGGAGTCAAAGGGTCATTGGATCTTTATTTGCTACAGGTGGTAGCTCTGGTTCCCAGCAACTAGGTCAGGGAAAGGGGAGTTGGCTCTGCAAATGCTGGGCTGTGGAGCCTCAGGAGGGCATGGAGTAGGACTGTTCTCTCCAGCTTGGCTCGCATAGCCCACCTCCCCCTGCCAGAACAGCCTGCTGCAAACCGGGTATCTTTTGAAGTCCCGTTTTATCCTCCATTGTTGTGTGAAATTTTCACTCCAGGCCATAAAATACCCACGCCTGCTTTAGTATTAAAATGTTTAGAAGTACATACCCGTTAAGTGGCCTAACTGTTGCACCTCCGCTGTACATCCTCAACCAAAAGTGGCAGTGGTGCACTTCAGCCCCACTCCGTGAGCCCACCTCCCTGCCTCTGTTGTGTGAAAAGCCTGGGTTCTCTGCCCTGCTCAGAACATTTCCCCAAAGGGCTGAGCTACAAATCTGGGGCCCTGGCTCCCCTCACCTTCTTGCTCCAAGTTTACCATTCTCAGCTAGAAGGGGCAAAAACAAAAGAATCAGCTGTGTTTGGTGGTGCGAGATAATTATCTTCTCTGAGGAATCCAGCCAGTCCAGAACCTTGGCCCTGAGCGCTCTCCATCTTGGGCAACCCCAGAACTCAGTGTCATGGCTTTCAAGAGCCTGGAGCATGTGGACAGGCCCTGTGGCCTCCACCTCCCCACAGGACTTCACCAGTAAAGACCCTGGACAGCCTGCATCTCCACTGGTGGGGGCTGAGGCCCAGAGCACATGCATGGACTTGCAGGCAGGGGTCTGTGCCATCAGGTCAGGGGGGCTCTTAGCCCAGTCTGGGGAGTCTGACAGGCTCTCTTGCTGCTCCTCCAGAGGGAGGCCAGAATCCAGGGCCTGGTTGAAATCCCAGCTCCAACACCCATCAGCCAAGTCCCCTGGCCTTGAGGGCCTCCAGTTCTCAATATAGAAAACAGGGAAATGTGAGGGTGTTGTGGGGTTCAAAGACTGGAAGACTTGAGTGAGCTGCCTAGCTCACTTAATGTTTCCAGAGCCTTGCAAGGTACACATCACTGCTATCCACATGACACACGTTGTGGGGTTGTGAAGGATGGATACTCACCAGAGGGTGCTTGCGCTTCCGGCCAGGCCTCCCCACCTTCCGGGCCGTGGCGCTGGGCTCCTGGCGCTCCTCCTTGCCTCGAGGCTCCTCCTGCTCCTCTCCTTCCTGTGGGCACAGACAGCCTGTGAGCCAGAGCTGACCCAAGAGATATCTAGTCTCAGGCCATGTGGGCTGGCCTTAGCCTCCTGTGGCCCACCTGCATGACAGCCATACTTCCAGGGCTGTGCTGTGGTGTCCTCCCCATCAGGGCAAATGTCACCTCCTTCCTGCCTGGTGACCCTGGAGCCACCCCTTAGAGCCTCATCTAAATACAAGCTGGAGGCCGTTCGGGGACCCACTGACTGCCCCAGCAGAAGGTGCCGCCCCCTTTGGTGACCATATTTTCTCAACCACAAGATTATAACACAGGCTCTGATGAAGGATTTGTCTCAGAGTTAGTTTGTTGATATGAAAAAAATTGTACACAGTTCAGTGAGCAAGCTATTTAATGAATATTGAAGAGAATAAGGTCACATGAGAAGAAATGCTAAACTTGCTGATGCCTGTTTGAAATCCATGCAATACTTCAAGTGGTGACTGTTGAGCCAAGTGTAGACCTTCCATGACTGATATAAGCACCCTGCCCCAGAGCCTGAACCATGTGGCTCTGGCATTGCATGTACCACCACCCCACAGGAGCATCCCAGGGACCATGTCCCAGGGGTCATGGCCTTCCTGAGTCTTCTCACTCACTGACTTCTGAACCAGAAGTCTCTTTTGGTCCCCACTCCTCACACAGAACCCGTGCAGGGCTGGGCCCTCCATACTTACCTCCTAGGGCCCAGAGACAGATACCTAGAAAGTCCTGTCTCACTGTTCCAGCCTGGCCACAAACCACCCACAAGTCCCTTCTGACTCAGCAGGTTCCAGCATGACTAATTACCAGTAGAAACAAAGTTAGGGAAGGAGAGAGGGACCTTGAGCCAGAAAAGGACGGCAGGCTCCTTCTCATGACCTGTGTGATGTCAGCAGACCAACATGGCTTTGTGGACTTCCCTGTAGGAGGGACCAACCCACACCAACACCAACACCATGGCTGGAGAAGAGGAAGGTACCTGGGTTTTCTGGAGATTCCTAAGATGGCCCTCCACGTCCCACTCAACTTTCATTTTCTGTGATTTCATAATAGCTTTGTGGTTTGCCACATTAATTTTCAGGTGATGGTGGGACACACAAGCGAAAGCTAGTGTGACCAACTGTAGACATCAGACCAACAGGAAGAGCATCACTGGCCCCTTTGTCTATCTGCCTGCCCATCCATTCATGGTCTGTCTGTGAGGCAGACCATGACAGCTCAAGTTCTGAGAGGCCTCTGAAGAGATGTGAGTTGAGGCTGACAGGGGTACCAGGCCTCAGCACCCACCAGTGTGATTGGTCACACTGGAGGGGGTAATGTTTGTGAAGGAGACAAGAAAAGTTAGAGGCACAAAAGAGATCACTTGTCCAAGAAAGGCGAGAGCTGCTACCCAAGAGACAGAAGTCAAACAATGCAATGATGTCAAGGACAGAGATTTGACTAGGGGCCATTATAGGTGGTCTTTGAGACACTGTCATTAAGCTGTGCAGAATGACACAGCAGTAAGGATGGAGAGGCTGAGAAGGGGCTGAAGAGGACCATTTAGGGAGCCCAGCCAGAAAAGATACAAAGGGAAAACAGGGGGTAGGGAAGGGGAAGGCTGGCCCCGGGGCCAGAGACCTTTGGGGGCCCTTTTAACAGGCAAGAAGTTTGGATGGGGCTCTTTTTAAGAAAGCTTGGCAGAGGTGCAGTGAGGACCAAAAGGCCTTTGGGAGAGTGGTCAAGTGGAGAGGGAGCCCAGGGGAAGGTGTGCAATGCCCAGCTGCAGGTGGCCCACAGGAGGCCAGGCTGCAGGCTCTGAGCTGTCTCTCAGGTTCCCACAGATGCCCTCTATAAGAAAGGGTCACTTGCCTCACAGAGGGAGTCCCCAATGCACTGAGTGTGGGCAGGCCGAGAGGAAATCGGTGCAGCTGTGGTAAGCCTTGGGGTGAGGTACTGCTTTGGGACTGATACTACTGCTAACTGTCAGGGGTTGGGGAACGTTGTGGGAAGGCACAGGGCCTGGGGCCTGGGACAAACCAATGCAGACCCAGCATGGAACCTAGCATGTCTGACCTCTCCTTATGAGAGGGATGACCCTCTCTGAGTCACAGATTCCTCCTGGGGTGTGAACTGTCCACCTGCCTGCTCCTCAGGTTCCTCAGCAGAACCAGTGGCTTGTCCCCTTGTCCATTTTGCTCACTGCCGAATCCCGAGAGACTAGGATAGATTCTGGAAGAATCTGCTTGGAAATTCTGAGATTTCAACTATTTCTTTAGCAAACTGCATTTATTACAAAAAGGTTTATTTGACGTTTTAGCTTTTATTCTGAATTCATCAGACATGAGAAAGTCAATCAGGGCCCTCTGATCAGCAAAAGAAATCACAGTCACTCTAAAGTAATGACCTAAGAACAAAAAAAAGACACTTAACCTTTCAGGACCAACAAGCCCCAGCTCCCTCCCATGTACATGGGAAAAGTCTCTGGGGTCGCCATCAAGCAACCCCATCATACTCAGACCTTCTTCCCTGTTAGATTTAATTCAGGGTAACCCAGCTCAGGAGGAAGGGGTGGGCCTCCTGATGCCAGGCTCCTGAAATGCCGGAAACACAGGCACAGCCACTGTGTGCCAGGCCTGAACCTCGAGCTCAGAGCGGGGCAAGATGTGCTCAGGTCTCCAAGTCTCCATGGGAGTCTGGGTTAGGATTCACACCCAGGAGTGGCCCCTGCCCCTTTCATGTGGCCTGAAAGCACAGTGGTGTAAAGTGTGCTATCTTTTGTCAACATGTTGCTCTTCAGTATGGAGCACAAGTGTGGGGCAAAATGGAAGGCACGCTCTGCTGTGGGCCTGTCTGCAGCTCACGCTGCCAGGTAAGGGCTGATCTGCCGAGCAGGGTGAGCAGATGGCCTGGGCCATGCCCTCAATGGCTCTAAGATGCGTATCAAGTGGTTCATTCTTGCGTCTGTCACGGGGCCTGCTTTATTGGTGTCACTGCTGATGGGCTGAGCAAAGGAATGTGAAATATGCTCATCAAATCTGCAAGTAGCACGGAATTAGGAGGCATCGCTAATACTCTGAAATAGAAGAATCTGGTCCACAGTAACCTGAGCAGCTGGAAAGCAGCGACGCATTCAGTGGGAACAGCTTTGAGTCCAGGCTGGTTTCCTCATCTGTCAAGCGAGGGACTTAACTGTCAGCCCTTCAGAACAGTGCAGGGGAAGGAATGAGACAGGGGGATTTGAAGTGGGCAGGGCAGGGCTGGGATCTCTTCAAGCTATTGCCTCTCTGCAGCTTGCTTTCCCCTCCATGAAATGGGGATAAGACTATCTACATCACAGTGACGATAAGAAATGAAGTGACAGTGATTGAAAGCAGGCCTGTGCCAGTCACTTGAGAATTGCTCACTTCCTCCAGGCTCCACACATCCTGAACTAGAACATTTTGCAGAAGCACAACACTCCCACTCCTCTCCCAGGGATCTCCCCACCTCATGCAAATCCCACTCACTGCCCCACATGTGCAGCCATCACTCATGGCACAGATAGATCCCACCATCTGGCTGGTGCCACTGTGGTGAGAAATGCGTGACACTGGGGCTCCCCAATCTTTCCAAAATGCAAGGCTGATTATGTCACTCTGCAGAGCTAAAACCCTCCCCGAGGCGATCCTGAGGCCTGCAGAGGATCAAGGTCAGTTCCTTAGCCCTTGTATATGAAGGTCCCAGGATGCAGCTGGATTGCCCAGGTCTCCTCTCCACTGCAGCAGGTGCAAAAGCAGCTGTCTACCCCCAGATACTCTGGCATAGCCTGGCAAAGAAGTATCTGTCCAGTCTACCTTCCCATTATGCTTCCCAGAAAATCCTTAGTCCCTTTTCCAGCCTCACTTCCTGGGCCACCTCTAGTCCCCTACCTAGACTGAGCAAACAGACACCTTGTCTCCTAAAACACCCACTACCCAGGATTCCAACTGTCAGCATTGTGCTGGCCAGGCCATGAGCTCCTTGAGAAGTAACAGATTTTTTTTTCTCATGGTAGACAGGGTCTATGTAGCCAAGTTGGCCTCAAACATGCGATCCTCTTGCCTCTGCTTCCCGAGTGCTGGGATTACAGGTGTGTGCCATTACACACAGCCAACTGGGGCCTCTTAACAATGGAATGCACAGTGCCAAGACTGATGGAGCCAGCACAAGACAGACACCCAAAAACACTTTGATGATGAGTGACAACCATATGGTAAGTAGGTGCTCAATAAACAACCCAGTCTACACACACACAGAAGAGGCACACGTGAAAAACCACAGTCCTATGTAAATGCAGGCTCCAGCGTCACTTGGAACTTGGATCTTTGGGTCTCCAGAAATGTGTTTTTTTGTTGTTTTTTTTTTGAGACAGGGTCTCCTATACAACGAATGCTGGCCTGGTACTCGAGAGCCTCCTGCCTCCGCCTCCCAAGTACTGGGATTACAGTGTGCCACCACACCTAGTATAAAATGTACATTCTAGGCTTAAACTTAATTATCACCTTACATTTATGTAAGTATTTATGGCTTTCAAAGCACCTTTACATTTGGAGGCCTATAAGATCAGGTGGTTCCCATCAGCCTGTCTCTAAATTTCTGAGGCTATGATCTGACCTACATTTTAGTGCAGCTCACTGGATGGATTATTTTAAGCCACACACAACTTCTCATTCTGATGAGCAGGGCTATGATGATAATAATCTCTCACATTTGTACAGTGCAGGGTAATTAACAAAGCATTTCCACAATGTTATTTCATTTTATTCTTATGCTTTTCAGAAAGCAGAACTAGAGTTATATTCTTTTTCCCATTACATAGGTGGGAAATCTGGAGCTCACAGAGGTTATCTGACTCACAGAGATCAGAGAGTTGAGAAGGGAGGCCTTCAGAACTAGAATTTCAGTCTTTTCATTCCCAGTCTTTCCACAGCAGCATGACACTAAAACCACCTATGCCATGATCTCACATCCACACATAAGCCTGCAGGCA